AAAACAAGTAGATTCTGAGCGTAACCATGCTCTGGCCTAGACTAATTCTTAATGTTTCAAGTGTTATCCAACCATATCTTAAGCATCGTTCAAATAATAGAGGAATCGCAGATATAAATAAAAGTCGTCAAATAATATAAATAAAAACAAAAAAAGAATACTTGGAGGTTCAGTTATCTCTCAATAGATGGAGAAAAAATAATAAGGAAAAATACTTGGAAGTTCAGTTATCTCTCAATAGAAGGAGAAAAAAATTAAGAAAAAATACTTGGAAGTTAAGTTATCAGAGGCGACTGCAGGAATGAACTCTCATTGCAAAAAGCACTCTGATATCCAAAGTTACCAAATTTTTTATTTCACTGATTTTCCTAAAACTTATATTACTGTCAGATGCAAAAATCAGATTGGACAAATTTGGACATTTTTACTTACACTTATTTTACTTTTTTTTACATAGTAAGTTTATCTACAATCTATGATATTTCCATATGAATAATTTTATTTTAGCTCATTTGTGACACAATGCAGCGGCGGGCCGGATCCGGCCCGCGAGCCTTAGTTTGGTGACCCTTGTGTTAGTGAATCGGTTAATGGGCAGGGTCTGCCATGCTCTTGGGTTCGTATTGCAGTGGACAAAAGCAATGTGTGAAGTGAGATCATGTGCTAATCTGACTTTATTTATGTAATTGTGTTTAGCATTTAAAGCCAGGTTGGCTCCTTCAAAAGAAACTTTTGATAACTTTTGTAACTTTAACTTTTGCAGATCTTGTAACTGATAACTTTTGTTAGATTTGTTTTAAATTTTGCTTTGTTTCAAGCTAGAGTGTTTTTAATTTAACTTATCGGGATTGTTTTATTTTATATCTTGGATTTTATTTCAGTGTAGTTTACAGTGGGAGATAAGACTGGATTTGTAAGAAAAATCTGTTAAAAAAGGTTTCTTCACTCTTCTCTTACCAGTTCAATACACCCATCACAAATACTTGCTCTTGTGTTTTATATACTATGTTTGTCTTTTAGTTTTAAATATTTTCTTGTAAACTTCTTGTGTTTTGATTCTTTCTACATGGCGAACGAAGTTAGTCAGATTTTGAGGAGAAACATAAACATGCACTCTGAAGTTTAATATTCTCCGAACCTTCAGTTAGCGGATCTTAAATACTTACTCTGCGGGATATCCGTGCGCCAGAAATTACCAAATATACATATTTACTATTTTCATTTATGATGAATTTCAGATGAAAAATATATCGAAATTTATTTAGCAAAAAAATACTGATCGTATATTTAAACATAGTACACACGATTAAATGTATTTTAAAATCACGAAGCAGGTAATCTTCTGAATATGAAACTGCTCATACAATTGAAGCATTGAATTGTTCTTAACCCATTTTTATAAGTTTGTTTGTAATTAAGCACAAAGTAACACAATGGGCTATCTGTGCTCTGCCCACTACGGGTATCGAAACTCGGATTCTAGCGTTGTAAGTCCGCAGACATACGCTGTGCCACTGGGGGGGGGGGGGATTTTTATAAGACATGGGATTATTATAAATATCTTGCTTAGCTTATATATATATATATATTGTTCCAAATCTTTAATATTCCTCGCCTTTTTAATTCCGATGGATCATTAAACAAATAATTATCTGCTCAGTGCTCGTTGTTTGTTCATTTGAATTAATAAAAAAAAAGAAAACAAACCTATTCACAGCATTATTTCTAAAATCCAAGAAATAGTAAAGACATTGGCAAGAATTTTTCTTAGAAAATAGGCCTTGTGTATTGCTTAGTAGGTAACATGCGCGGCTGCAGTCGGAAGGGCCCAGTGTTCGAGACGTGATACCGCTGAGCATGCTCCACACTTTCAATTGTGGTGTTTTATAAAAGTGAAAGTCCAGCCCGTTATTCGGTTCAAAGGTGTGGACAAGTCTCTTGTAGTTCGGGAGTTGCTGAGAGGCTACCTTCCCTATAGTTACTAATTCAAAATAGTAAGACATTAAAAAGTGGGTGACTGCTCTGTTTTCCACATCGGAATTAGAAAATTATTTTTTTTAACATTTTCTCTAAAATTCAATAATTAGAAAAAACGTTGACATAAGGGAAATATTGTAAAATAATTCTCTTAGAAATCGGGCCTGGCGTGGCCAAGAGGTTAACATGCTCTGAGATGCAGATCAGAAACCCCACGTTTCGTGCTACATTACAGATGAACACGCCCCACACTTTCAACTGTGGCTGCATTGCAAAATGACAGTTCATCTTTATATTTGTTTCAGAGAGCTAGAAAAAGCCATTACACAGCCGAGTGCTACTTACTGGCTTGCTTTCTGTGGCTAGTAGCTCAAAATTAGGAACGGGTATAACTCAACCATAGAAGTATCTGATATGGCCGATTAGTCAATGTGTTGTATAAGATGCCGTTCAAGTTTGGTTAGGGCGCTCGACTTGCAATCTGTAAGTCGCGGGTTCGAATCCCTGTCACACCCAACATGCTCGCCCTTTCAGCCGTGGGAGCGTTATAATGTGATGGTCAATCCCACTATTTGTTGGTGGGTGGTGATGACTAGATGCCTTCCCTCTAATCTTACACTGCTAAATTAGGGACGGCTAGCGCAGACAGACCTCGTGTAGATTTGCGCGAATTCAATAACAAACAAACTGTTCAAGTTAAATATATCTAGACCTCTCAGACCTTTGTCGCGAGAAACATTAGCAAGATTTCTCCGTATGTCTTTTTTATTATTTGATTAGAGGGAATACCTCCATCTAGATCCTTTTACATCCACGCTATTTTAAACTACTTACTAAATCACACAATTCTTTACTTCGTAACTTCATCTATACCTCGAATCAAAGTTATACAAATGATAAGGTTTTTCCAAACTTGAAGAATTAATTACCTTTTCACATAATTTATAATAATAGAGCGTATATATATTATTGCATGTGATTAGTTGAAGAATTTTATAGATGGAAATTTTCTATGTAGTTTTTCAACTTATTATTCACTCGTGAGATGCAGGCTATGCCAAAAGAAAGTATCCCTTACATCAGTTGATTACGGTTATGTGCCGTATGCTATATTCGCTGTAATGTCACATTAAGCAATTTCTTTTTTCTTATTTTTCGGTCGAAATAAGAACATTTACTTAATTTTTCGCACACTCTGTGTATCAATTATTATACCCTGACAAGATATAACGTGAGAAAGTGGTGAAAACCCACAACAGTTAAAATAGACAACATGATAATAGGTAAGGCAAGTTTAACTGTAATTTCGTATGGAAAGATACTTGCTTATTATGTATCTGCCCCAGAATAGCATAAATATACTTTAAAATTTTCAAAGTTCAACAATCACTTTATGTCGCTCACTAGATGGATCTGGCCATTATTCATTATGAGAAGATTTTAATACTAATTGCTATGAAAATGTCAAATTTTTTCAAGTGCTTAAAGTTCTTTAAAGAAATATATTATTATATTTATAATATTAACATAAATTAGGCTTTGAAACGATACTTCTGCAGTTTCATCGATTGAGATACTGATTTGGCTGATTTTATAATTTTGATATTTACTGCGAGAGAGCGCTGTAAATAACGATCATAATAATAATGGCGGAACTTCCATCGCCTACAGAGGTAAGCTTTATCATTTGTATTAATAATTTACAGGTATTCACCACACTGTACCAATGATTTTATTAAATAGCGGTGAAATAAAAAAGACTACTATTACTAACTTTACAAGAGAAGATATTGAAAATATTCCTCACTCTGAGCATTTTATGGGAAATATTAGATTTGACCTGAATCATGTTGATCATTGAATGATTGATGTCAATCACAACATGATATATATATATTACTATTGTTATTAATAATAATAAATTAACGTTAGATGTAACTAATAGTAATAGTAATAAGTTTTGTGGTGGTAGGTAGAAATATAGAGATGTTTAAAAGTAGATAAACTTTCATATAAAATTTATAAAGCATCATACCATTCATGGCCATACAATTACGAGTACGAAGTATTGCCAAGAGTTTTAAAGGAGGTCAAACACAAATTTAGGTTAAGACCTATTGCGAGACTCATTTTTTGTGGGTCAGTATTATAGACAGTGGGCTGGTGCCTGAGGAGCGGAAAGCAGCACTCTGTTGCTAGTTTTAAAGCTAATAGAATTTTATAGTGAATTTATATATTTCACTATCTGCATACAGCTTTGGTCTTATCTAAAAACGTGTATTGACCCATTTGAAAGAGCAGGGCTACTAAAATACTTAAATTAATTCTAGAAATGGAAAGGTTATCTTATAGGTATAGATTAAGATCTCTTAATTTATTTTCTCTTGATAAAAGAAGGGTAGGAGATGATATTTTTAAGTTTACTAGGTTATCCAGTGTAGAAACAAGATAAAGGCCTCTGATTTCTTTGAGCTACATTCTGAAGGTAATAACATAACATAATATTTTGGGAAAACATGGGACCTATTGGTCCATCTCAGCTGTTCCATCCTCATACTAGATTAAAATGATTAAAAAAATAATAATAATGAAATTATAAACCTAACCCTTTTCATTCATATACTTATCAAGTTTTTTTCTGAAACTACCTTAAATTTACTGCATCTACTACATCTTAAGGCAACCAATTCCAAAGGCCAACCACCTTGTTAGAAAAATAAAATTGTCTTAGCTTAAAATGACTCCTACCTTGCCAAAATTTATATTTGTGTCCCCCAGTCTTACTATTCTCATTGTTAAATATAAAATAGATGATACATCAACATTATCAATTTCCTTTACAATCAGAACACCTCAATCAGATCCCCCTAATTCTTCTTTTTTTCAATAGAAAACAATTCGAGAGATATCACCCTCTCATCGTATAATAATCCTTCTATCAGCCACCATTCTAGTAACCCTTCTCTGAACCTTTTCCAACAATTCAGTGTAGTTCCTAAGGTAAGGA